AGAGAGAGAGAGAGAGAGAGAGAGAGAGAGAGAGAGAGAGAGAGAGAGAGAGAGAGAGAGAGAGAGAGAGAGAGAAGCTTGAGTCTGACCTACCGGTGAACGCCATTCAGTGACGTGTCAAGACTTTGGTCCAGAAGGCCAACATTGCCATCTCCAGTGTTATTCTTGGTAGCAGCCGGTGCCAGAGTGATATCGACTTGGAGAGTGACTTAGTGGATTGATGACGTGTTGAGTTGGGGGGGAGTGGCAAAACAAGTAGTTGACAGGATGGGGACTTGCTGAGATGGCGTTTGAGGAGGCGAAGAGCCAGGCAGATGAAGAGGGAGGAGAGACAAGACACTATATCTATTGTTATCACCGTATCATGGTATCACCTTTGAGTGATTCTACTCTTCTCAGTCTTATTCTTATCTCTGTTTGGCCACTTGATTCACCAGGGATTGTGAGCATCTGCATGATAATGATGTGAGCTTCAGAAATTGGGGTCGGTTACATTCTATACCCACAGATGCATACAATACACACGCAAAGGTGTTTGACCAACCTGCACACATATGATGGAACTACAATAATCCACGTTAGACAAAAACATCTGTTTGCCAATTTGGCAACAAAAATGCCAACAATTCAATATGATTATACGATATAGCACACATGTGATGACCCGACCAAACATGGACTTAAACACACGGCTGATTTCTGAGTTTTGCTCATGGACTGAATGCTTTGCTGAGTTTCCCGCTTGCTACTAAGTCTGTGTGTGTGCACGCTTGCTGGACTGCACGTCTGTCTGAGTGGTGGTTGGGTTGAGTGTCTGCGTGGCCCGTAAGGGCACTTGTTCGTTCGTTGGGCCCTCAGGGTCGGTACGTACCTGTGGCCGTGACATTGAGGGATTGCAGGGGGGGAAAACACTCAAGTAGCAGGTAGGCCGGTACCACACCCTGAAGAGGTAGATGTGCGGGTACTGTAGGCCGAGCAGAAGAAGACAAAAGTGGCATTTTGAGAGGCCCAGTAGTTATAGGCTAGGTCTAGGCGGGTACCAGTCCAACCAGTCTGAGTCTACGGCCTGTACGGGTAATATCAGAGTCTGCAATAATGTTTCCCTCCGAAAGGGAGGAGGTACCGGTTGCTGGGAAGGCCGAGCGGCCTGGAAGTCACCACCCAAGAGGCAAGCAGGCCGCTATATCTCCAGGCCGGGCGAAGAGCCCAGCCTCATTGTCGGTGTGCAAGTTTGGCGACACAGTGGTTGGAGCGCTGGCTGGAGCAGCGCTGTTGGGGAAGAAGCAAGGACTCGGAGGAGGAAGAAGGACAGGAAGGGTGAGGAGCGCCAGAGGTACTTACCTGGCTATGGTGGCCGCCATCTTCATTACCTTGGTGGGCGCTGCAGCAGGAAGGCCCCAGCTGGGGTTGAGCTACACCACGAAGCTTCGAGGCAGAGTCAGGCATGGCGGTCTGAGCTAGGGCAGCCATAGCTGCTTTGGGTTGTCCTTTGGACATCTGGGCGAAGCCTAGTAGTCCGCCATAGCCTCGGCCTATGAGAGTGAAGAGTGGGAGAGGCGGCCATGGCTATGGTGGATCTCAAGTGACACCTGCAGTAGAAGAGGGATTCGGACTTTGATTCTGGTTCAGCTATTCAACATTCTATTATTATTTCTTGTGTGAATAAGAGAGGAGGAGATAAGGAGGAAGAGAGAGTTGAGCGAAGAAGAAGAGCTTTATCATTTGTCTATGCTGGTGTACATCATCTTCTTCTTCTTTCTTACTTCTTCTTCTTCTAACCTTCTCTCTCCTCTCAAGTTCATTCATTTCTTTATGCAATTGGACGGCATTGTACTATCTGATGAATGTGTATCTCGAAATTGGCCAGGATCATAACACACATGTTTATTGATTTCCTTGCGATGAATACACAATACGGTCTGTTGCAGGTGAGGTTCCTGCCAACAGCACAGTGGCGTACGCCGAGGAGGCCACTGCCGGGATCCTCCTTATCTAGAACTGTTGAAGAGGATGAAGATGGGGGTATTAATGTTGAAGAGATGGCGGACGAAGACGTTGAGAGATTGGCAGACAACACGCAAGAGGAGGAAGGCATAGGAAGAGAACCGGGCAGGCAAAGCAAATGGGATGAAACTGGGCAAGCAGAAACAGAGGTTCCAAAGGACAGCAAATCTCAAAACGTTGTCCCAACTGGTGAGGTTGTCGCTATCTTGCAGAGAGCACAGCAAGACTATGTTGCTTGCTTGGATCAAGCCGATGAAGACGCACTGGCAATGCACAGCACGGGCAGGTGATCCTATTGTGCCAGTCCAGCTGCTCTTCCAGTACTTACTTTCTGGGATAGCAAATACTGTCTTCTATTGTCGATGATATGCTTGTTGTTTTGTTTATCAACTTCCTTTCCTTCTCTCTTGCAGATTTCCCCTCCTTTTTATAGTCCTGACATCTGCTTATCTTGCTTATTCCTTGCAGGCAAGAGAGCCTTCTCTGTGTTCCAATGGATCGGCGAATTCCAAAGGTAACAAGATATAAATCTGTCTGTCTGTGTCGTCTGTCTGTCTGTCTGTCCATCCGTCCGTCAACAAGTATTATTTTAACAAGTGGACCCGCCACGGCTACGCCGCGGCGCACAGCAACACTCGCTGTCTCTCTCTCTCTCTCTCTCTCT